ATTGTGACTCGTTGTGACTGATTGTGCCCTTTGGTGACCGATTGTGGCTTGTGAATTGTGACTCGTGGCGACCAATTGTGACAAAAAAATTCGGGAAAAATTTGGAAGTTGGCCGTCGGAACGGGCATCTGGGTGATCGTAGGAATAGCCGTCAGAGTGATCGCTGGAGAGTCACCGGAGCGGCCATCGGAGTAGTCATCGGAGTGTTGCTGGAGCAGTAGTCGGAACATCGCCAGAGCGGTGCTGGAGATGGAGGGAAGGTGATGTAGTGAGGTGATGGGGGTGGGTGAGGTGTCATGTGATGTAAATAATTAATATATATTATATTATAATTTAATATTTAATAAATCTATTTAATACCTGATTTTTGAAATAATTAGACAAATTTGTTAGTTTTGAAAAGTAATTCTTAAATGTAGGTTTTGTGTATTGTTCCCTAATATTTTTTCCAGCCCTACCAGCTACAGCCCAATGTTTTTCTTCCCTGTTCAGCCCACTTTTCTCTTTTTTTACTCTTCCTTTTCTTCAAGCCCAAGTAAATTAATGCTATATTATCCTTCAAGTCCTATAGTCTTTCAAAATAATGAAATTCAGTCCTTGACTTTCCAAAGTAAGAAATTCGATCTCCAACTTTTGCATCCAATCGCCAATTTAATTCTCGTACTTTGGATTTTTTACAATTTAGCCATTTTCTCCAACTTCGCCAACTTTTGCTAATTTCATCAACCTATATCACAATATCAAAACACACATTAAAATGCTCTAAAACGCGTAGGAATTAATTAAATATCAAGTTCAGATGGCGTTTAAAGTATGAGTGAAATACACTCATCAATATGTCTTCAATCTCCTATGAAAGCAAACTAATCAACTGACTTTTTACTCCCATATGAAAAATCAACTTTAATACAGATAGATGCTCTAAAGGAAATCCGATTTCATCAGAATTGGAGGTCATATCAGGGACGAGGAAAATGAATGTCAGGTTTCATGGGAAGCATCAGACATATTGCGAGCCTAATAGCATGAGCTATTTTCAGAGGCCTATCACTCTTTTGTACAAAGGTTGGAGAAATACACTGCTAGAGATATATTCAACAAATGTATTATTTGTGCTAAAAGGGTCTCAAATTACAAGAAATTTCAATAGAGCTCTTGAAATTTTATTATCACATAGATTAGTGTTTTAACACTAGTGGTGCTAAACACCATTAATCTTGAAAAAATGTAGGATAAATTAGTTATATTCTTTTGGTGGATTTGGAAGGGATCTCCTTCACAATGGCCTTTAGCCTCGTTTGGTGAAAATTAAAATCTAAATTTTAATCTAAATGAAAATCTATAATTAATTTTAGTCATACATTTTATGAAATTCATAACTTTTCAATCACTTATTTCATTAATTCCCTTTTTTATTGTTTCTTTTGACGTACAAAAAGAAGCAATAAAAAATAGACTAATCACAACTTTCCCGAGCTCAACGAGCTCAAGCCTGACTCGGTTCATATAATGAACCATCTCAATCTGATTCAATCGAACTATTACCAAAGGAATCTGATTCCACTGTCTCTACTAAAAAGGAGGAATTCGATGCCAAACCCGAATATGAGAAAAGCGAGGTGGAAATGGATATTGAAGTTGAAATGAAGCCGGATGAAGAAAATGAAAATGAAATTAAAGAAAAGATGACCGATGATTTAATGGAACGGAAGAAGCGGAATATCAATTGACCCAGCCTGTAAGTCGGTGCACCATTCGAACGCAGCACCTTAGAGGGAGCGCACAAACTGTTTTACCATGGTGTCATTATAAGTGCCTGCATTGTTACATGTCTCAATAAAATGGGCAACATGTTACTTTGGGTTACCCTTCCCATCAAAACATTGGAATTTTGGAGGCTAGTAACCGAGTGGCATTTTTATCTCGTCGATTCGACGGCTATATGGCTTGGCATACACCAATGAAGATTGCATTGAACCACCATATTGGGCACGAATGGTGTCTGCAATCATATGTTGAAGTTGGTGGACAGATAGAGAGCCAATAGAAAGTTGAGTAGTATCACGCAAAACGTTTTGAACAACCGTTCGATCATGTATATCTTGTTTCTGTTGGCGTTCTTGGATTTCCAGATCCTTACTTTTGGAGGATTCTAGGTTTTCTTGATCTTCTTTCGCCAGATTTTGCAGTTCTAGCTTGTGCATGAGTGCAGCAACCTGCGCGTCTTTCTCTTCTAGTGACTTCTTTAGTTTTTCAATGGCTGAAGCCATTTGTTATATTCGATCATCCGAGCCTGAGGTCGCCTCCGTGACCATCACTGGCTCAAGTGATTCTTCAGACGAACTATAGTCTTCCCACCTTTGCAGAGAAGTGGTATGAGGGGATCCGGACAAGGATTTGCTACTGGAGACGGAGCCCGAACGAGAATTTTTCGCCGAACTCTTGGTCTTTTCTGTTGAACGAGTAGTTGGCTTTGTGAAAGCAATTTTCATTCTGCCTTTGTTGGAGAACTTCTTTAGTGGTGGAACCAGTTGAGTTTTTCCANGCTTGTATCCGTTACTTCTATAATTGTTGAGAATTTGATTTGCCGAGATCTTGACTTGTTGACACTTGAATTTCAGAACTTGATTTTGGACTTCGTAGCTTGGTCTTGATCTTGATTTAATTCGAAAAAGATTGTGATCTTCTTGAGTTTATTTGATTTGAAGGAGATTTTGATCTTGTTCGTGTTCGCCAGACATGGAGTTGAGAGAATTTCTTCTCTTCGTTCGGCGTTGGGATTTCTTCAGCACTTCGTGATTTTCTTCTTCACTTTTTGCTCCCCTTTCAATGAACTTTTGACCCTATTTATAGGAGAAGTTTTTGGCCAATTTTAGTAAGCCCTTAATTAATTCAATTAAATTGATTATAATTGAATAATTGTGGATTTAAAAAGAGTAGGGTAAGTCTTTAAAATCTTATGGGCTTATTAAGTTTTAGATTAATTGGGCTGATTATTTAAATTGACCCAACCCATTATTTATTTATTTATTTATTTTTATCATTTTTTTATGTCTACAGATGCATTAATTTTCTACATTTTTATTTCTTAAAACCAAACGTTCATTCTTTAGCAGAGTTTTGTCTCTCCCAACCATTTCATTCAATTTGACAATAAGCTCATATTTGGTAGGTCTTATGTAACACTCCCAAATCTATGTACCAAGATTTGAAAGTATTATCGTTTATTTTCTTTTAAAATCATAAACGCGGGAAAGCTATTTAATTTTTCTTCAACATAATAAATATCAATGACTTCATTTATGTCGTACTAAACAAAAATATAAGACAATTAAATTAAATGTTAAATTTATTTATAAAATGAACTTAATACTTAAATATGATAATATTGAGTTAGAGTCACCACAAGTCGTCATTCGAATCATCTTGCCTTCATCATTTGAAAATGTAAGGGATAACGTGGAATGAGCTAACATTGAGTAAGCAAACCTCGTGCATATGATGCATACTTATGATATGAATATGAATTACTTTAAAATAAAAATAATTTATCAATATGTATTCACTTTCTTTCATTTCTTTAAAAGCTTAACATTGACATTGTGAGCTCACTTGGTGTATCGCCTAGCCAATTAAAATGCAGTGAACAATTATTATTCGGAACCCGGTCGAGTCCTACCAGTAGTATCGTAAAGCGGCTAACATTAACATTATCACTTAACATTAAACATTGTTTGGGTGCGCCGGTCCCCCACGCCCTATTTCTCACTCACACCTTTCGTGGCATAGACGTAAACCTTTTAACAAAAACATTTGGGATACATATGTTTAAAAACATTCCTTGACTCATTGACATTTGGAAACTTTTGTTTCTTGAAACTTTGTGCATGCTTATGGATGCATTAACATGTATAAATATTTAATGAGAAATATTAATTACATAAAACTTAATAATCAAATATCATGTTAACGTACGTAAGGGCAAATAAGTTAATACATTTATACATATAACCATATGACACACGCGTGAAAATGGGGAGAGGTTTACTTACCTTGGATCCTCGACAATTTACTTTTTAAATAACCAATGAGGATGTCTGTAACTGCCCACAAAAATCAACGTGCCATAAGTCTTAAATCATTACCATTTATTTAGAAACCTCAACGTACACATCATTTATTTACTTATTATTAACCCCCTAGAAATATCATCAAATATCAAGTCATAACACTTTTCTATTAAGCTATTTCATTTTATTTTACTTTATGCATCCTAAATATAAGAAGATTAACACATCTAAAAATGTCATAACTCAAATATATTAAGCCCCTGTTTGTTCTACATTTTCTTTCAATTAGTACAAATTTTGTGAACCTTTTTTTCAAACTGCTGGGCCCCATTATCACACATTTTGGTCAAAAATGTTGGCTAGAAATCTGTGCAACGGTCACAATTCTTACACAAATGGGGAAATAAACAAACAGGGCATAAATACGATATAAAATTTCACATTTCTTTAACATAAAAGACTTAAACA